ATGCAACTTTTCACAAGCTTGACGCGCATTCTTCCCTTTATGGAAGTCAAACAGTAAAGTATGGGGAAATGTACAATTTGGTCTTCCATCTATAACTTGTTGTAAAATCTCCAAAACTCAACCAAATCGCTCAATTTTTTTTTAGACTGAAGCTAGAACTGTCAGTTGTCAAATGACATAGCAATAACATAGATGCAAATGATTCTAGTACTTCCAAAAATGAACTGCCATCTGTTGCTAACAGGTGTCATGACTTTTCCAAAGACCCAATATATTATCATTTTTAAAAAACCATCCATTTTAAACTGCACTACAATAAATAACTCCATTTCCAATGAATAGCCCATATCCCTGGGATAGGAACAACTTTGAAACCCATGTTAGAGAGGCAGACAAAATTCTAAATATATAAACTCCAATTAGATTCAATTAAATATCTAATAAGTAAATAGGGAGCGTTTGAAAATTACTCAAAACTCACGAAGCAGGGAACAGATGTGTAGGAGCTAAACTTGGCTAACTTGAAAAGCATAGATTATGACTCAAGATCAGGTACAGACTATGGGATCACCATCACCCCCTGTTTTGGTTATTTTTTTTTAATTTTGCATTATGACATAGTTATTACAAAAAGGGGTTTAGCCAGGCAGTAGGGACAAGATAAATTTCTCTGACTGTATGGCTCCAGGCTTATATCACTGGTTGTTTTGCTACTTCAATCAGCTAAGAAGATAAATTCCAAAATTATTTGGGATGACACAATCATTTCCTTAACAAGTGAACGTATTTCAATTTCAGGAAGATTCAAAATTAAGTATAAAAATAATTCAGGGGCCAGCTGAGTGGTTCAGTTGGTTAAGAGCTTGCTTAAGAGTGTGAGCTCTGAGCAACAGGGTCGCAGGTTCAGTTTCCACATGGGCCAGTGAGCTGCGCCCGAGCTGAGCTGCCAACAGGTGGCAGATGGCTCAGCTGATGAGAGAACAACGCTCCTAACAACAAGGTTGCTGGTTGGGCTGCTGTTGTTAGGAGCATGTACAGTAGATAAAATATAAGAAGCAACAGTTTGAAGAGGTCTCTCTAATTGAACGCAACAAAAGCAACCAGAACTTGAGGAGACAAAACCCTGGAAAGGAGGAAACAACACGAGAGAAGCCCAGCATTCTGTGCCCTTTCCTATCTAGGCAAATTGCACACATGGGGCAAAACTCAGAAGAAAACAGGTAGAAAGAAGCTTCTAGAGGCTAAAAACAGCTGAGAAAATGTTTCGGCGGCTTCTCTGGGCCAGGGAGAGAAAACTTGAAGTTGCAAGCCTACCAAAGAGGAGGGGCCCAGAAACCCAGAAGGGGTTTTTGAGACCCCAGAAGGTCTATGCCCGGGTAATATGGGCAACTCAGAAACAGACCAGCCTCGACTGAATCAGTGATCCGCTCATACTTTCTCTACTAGGAGTTAAATCCAGTCTCAAAACATATATATATAATCATCCAGATTTTCAATCAACATTACCAGGCATTTCTACCAGGCAGAAAATATGACCTAATGTTCCAAAAACAAGAAAAGAGAACTAGACCCACAGGTAATACAGACTGGAGTCATCAGACATTTATACTAAAATAACTGCTTAATATACCATTTAAGAAAGGAAATAAAAAGATAGACTTACCAAAGAACCAGAATTTATATTTTAAAAAAAAACAGTAGGTGAGTTTAAACAGCAGTTTAGAGGCAGATTAGGGGTAGACTGTTACGTAGAAAACATCCAGATTGAAGCATTGATGAAATTATCACTATGGAAAAGAAAAAAAAAATACGACTAAAAGGATGAAAACTACATTTTTAAAAGCCTAAGAAACATATGGGACATGATGAGAAAGTTCTGGCATACATGTAATGGAAGACTTCAAAATAGGGGGCGGAGGGGGAAGAATGGAGCAGAATCAATATTTGAATAAATACTGACCAACCATTTTCCAAAACTGGTGAAGGTATCATGCCACAGACTGAAGAAGTTTTAGGAACACTAAAGTAGGCTAAATACAAGGAAACCACACCTGGCCATATCATAGTACAATAAAACTGCCAAAAGCCAAAGTAATCTCTGAGTAATTGTTCCTGTTCCCCAAAACACTCTATTCAATGTTGGAAGCTGGAAAAGTGGGAAACCACTTAAAGATTAGCACCCAGGAAATTAAAGGTAAATAGCTTGCTTTTAATCTGTTCACACAATGAATGGTAATAACTAGCCAAAA